TGGCCTCTGGCCAGGGTCAACCCACCACAATGCACTTGCTTAAATTTCTCCCTATTGAGCATGGAAGCTGAAGCTCACAGTGCAGCTTGTACTTAGAGAGTTAAGCACATGCTTAAAACAAAGCCTGTGCTTCAGTGCTTTGCTGACTGGGGCTCGACTACTGAAGTACAGCTGAAAAAAGGAAGAAAGAACTAGAGTGAAATCAAACAATGTTAACAAATCAGAATGATTTGGTGAACATAAAATTGAACTGTATTGTTCAGGAGCATTCCAAAAAGCTGACACAAACTCGGTATTGGCTGAAAAAATATTTCACCTTAACATGGTTTAAAAACAGCCCAAAACCACAGTAGTCTGCTCCTATGGCATTACCCAGAAACAAAACCAGAAAGAAACACATTTAATACACATTGCTTGATGACAATAATTAAGAAATTGGGACTCATAATTCTTAAGTTAAATAATATGATTGCTGGTTCCAAGATTCAATTCTGTATTTATTTTTCATTTTTCAGTATCATTGCAAGCTTTCAATGATCTCCTGAGTGCAGCAGTGAAACAGTTATAATGGTTAGGACCTACAGCAAGCCTCTGTGCATTTAGCTCTGATCTCTCTTCAGCTAGCTTAATTTGTAGCTGCAATCTACAGTCACTCCAATACAGTGCAGAATACCAAGGGTTGAGAGACAGAGACAGGTGGGACAAAGTGAGTAAGCATGAGCATAAATAAATGATAAGTTGCAGACATTTTGGGTTGACTTACACTGTGACCAACATTTATTCAAATACATCATGCTGTCGAGAGCAGCTGAGGGAAGAAATGCGTGTTACACTGAAAAAGCAAGTTGTAAAGTCATGCAATAAAGGCAAAAGAACCTCCAAAACAAACTACCAAAACCTCAATTAAGGATATCTGTGCCATCCTCTCTCTGACCTAGTACTGATATGTACAGCCTTCAATATTTTCCATATGAAGTAACTCTTTTTTAATTATTTCTTCAATATTCTGTCTCGTTCTGTGGATAGAATGGACAGCATTCACTGAACAGGTAGTCATTTAATGTGTTTTTCTTTAACCCCATCAATCTGAATTCTAGTTACTTATTTATATCCAATCCTATACTAAATTTAAAATTATTATTTTCTTTTCCTTTTGACATGTTTCCTTCCCTCCTCATCAAACAATAAATCTCCTTAACATTCCTGCAAAATCAGAGAGGATTATTAGTTCCAGGGATTACCCTAAAAATATCCAAAGCATCCACTGGTTTTGGGTACTTAATCTGAGATCTTTCGGTTTTCAGGCACTCCATATGCCTCAAGTAGAGCTGTAACAGATCTCAGCTGCAGTTCAAGAACACTTAGCTCTCCTGCAAAGGAGGACAAGATGTTTCAAACTGGGTATCAGAAAAATTAGAAATAGAGTGGCCACTTCTAAAACACGTGGTGATGCACGTGGCCTGCCAACATCACAGAGAAACACTGGCAGAAGCAAGAATAGTCTCCAATTTGATGTCATTCAACTGTCTGAACTGCAAGATCCTCCTCTTCCTGAACTCCTTGCACTTTTCACTATGTATCTTTCACTTTCTGCAATAAATGAGACAAACAGTTCTACAAACAATATCACCTGTGACTCAGTCCGAATTCGTTCCCAGAGTCCCTTCTGTGACTACAGCAGTGGGCTAGAGTGGAAAAATAGCAACATACTGAAAGCTTGGTGCCTGATGCTTCTTTACTCAGGAAGCACACAGATATGTAGGCATTTATTGGCCTTTCCTAATGATTAAGAGTAAGGAAACGGTCAAGATTTAACTCACGTCCTTTTCGGAGGTAGTCATATTTGTTATGATTTTCTAGTGTTACTGCTGTAAATTCAAAAGTAGAAAAAAACCCCTAAAACCTAAATGTGGAATCAGAGAGACACATGAGACACCAGAAAGGCTTGGATTCTGTTTCCTTGAATGTGCCACTCAGCGTCGCAGCACACTGATCTGCCTTTGGAAGCCAGAGCTCCAAGCTGAGCTTCCGCTGCAACTCAGGCCTTTGATACATCCGATAAAAACATTTTGTTTTAGGAAGAAAAGCCAACTTTTCCCAGAATGGAGTAGTTACAAACAAAGATCACACTGCCAAAATTCCCCCAAATGAGAAGGGATCTTTCTGTCTTGAACTAGGTCAGGGAATCACTCCAAGTTTTTCTTCAGGCCATATGTTTCTCCCAGCACTATTTTAATTGTTGCCTTCACTGTTCGACATAATGAATTTCTGTTCCTAGAAGATACTAAAGTCTCTGTTTCCCACCTTACTTTAGCATCTTCAATAGATTTTTATGTTAAATTTATAATACCATGACAACATCAGTATTAAATTTTCTTTCCACTGTATAAACTTAGTAATTTTGGATTTTTTTTTTAATATTACTATTTTCAGGATTTTTTTGGCACAGCATTTTTGCACTACTCTCATTTTGTGAACATTTGTCTTTACCTTCATGCACTACTAAGCAAACTTCTGTTATTCACACAATACTATTTTCAATTACAATTACCTTATGCATTATATAGTTTCATTAATAAATCATATTACTAATAATCTGTTTCTGATACTTTTAATAAAATTTTCCATTCCATTGCATATATATCTAAGGGACTACAGCATTTCCTTATTTTTCTACAGCATTTCCTTATTTGACTACAGCATTTCCTTATTTTTCCTTCTTCTTAAAGAAGAAAAAAAAAATGCTGAACTGAGTTAAATTCTATTGCCAAGTCCCTTTCTATCTACCTACCTATCTATCTGTCTCTCTCTCTCCTGTTTCTTATGATGTTTCCAGACTGGCAATGCTCAAATCTAACAGCAATAATCACAAATTAAATGGATGTTGGGTTTTGGACCCAAGGGACCATTTTACCTTCTGCTCAGAGGGAAAAAATACGCTTAAGGCTAGCAAAAGCCATTTCAGAGAGAAGAATGATTCCTTTTCATATGCAAAAGATAGAGTATCTAAATTTAAATTAGGAGGAGAACTGCCCTGAAACTGACATTCCTTGCAAAATGCAAAAGAGCTTTGTAAATAAAATGGTACCTGATCAGAACTATTTTTAATTATTAAATTATTATGTCTAAGCTTTTAAGTTAAAAAGTCTATTACTGATTTTTTGTTAGAAGTTTTATTCTTCCTGTATCAAGGTCCTTCTCCATTTTCCCTTCTCAAAATAATTCTGATTATCCCTCTGAAAAAGTCACTATGGCATTCTGCCTTCCCAGGGGAAAGTAAACAGATGCCTTTGGCTAAACTGCATGTATCAGGAAAACAAATGGGAAGTGGTCATTACCAAAGTCAACGAGCTTGACTCCACCTTCTGTTGTCAGAAGAATGTTGTTCCCTTTCACATCACGATGAATGATCCGGTTATTGTGTAAATGCTGAAGGCCCTATATACCAGCAGTAACAGAAATAAGTTTACTCCCTTATTTAAAAACAATTACCCTACTATTAGGGAATGTAATGAAGACAATCTGCACATACTTTATAGAAACATCTGTCCCCCAGATTACATGCTTGATACAACCCCTGCTGCTCTAATAGCCCGCATAATATTGTCAACATTACCATACTTTATAAATGGAAAACGTATATATGAGATGAGTAAATTGCACCCTCTGCTGTTATTACAAGCCCAATGAACATCCTTACCAAGAGAGCACCATATAAGATGTATGAGATTATAGCTTCATCCAACCGTTGGCCACACTTCAGCAGGCCTTTGACAAGCTCTGTGACAGAACCTCCATTACACAGCTGTGAAGGGGGGAGTTGTGAGGAGGGAAAAAAAGAACGACAAGTCCTCAGTTACTCAATATACTTGTTTACGCTGTGAACGCCTACTGTGCAAAACTGCACTACAACGCAAGTCTGGGAACAGTTAGATTTTTATCCTGCAATTATTTATGTTGTCAACCCACCTTAGAACACATTTTATTAGCAACGTTAATAACAAATCACAGCAGCCTAGGTGGGGAATGGAAGTGAAAGCCAAAGACTATAAAGTGCAATTCATTAAATGTAACTAAAAATCAAAATATTATGAACAGGACTATATTTTGTTGTTAAAAGAGGATTTGTAAGTAAAATTTCCATTATTTGAGTATTTTCACAATAATAGGTGCATTGTCTTTTTGAAAAACTGCTTTTGTGCAAAGAAAAAGCCAGACAGAAAAGACTGATGTTCATGATAACTGGGAGGCAACAAATTACAGTCATTTTAAACTTTCATTCCATCAATGCTCCTGCTGGCAGGCAATATAAAGTAGACAGAAGCCATATCTCTATACTCAGATTTGATGGCATGTGCTGACAACAACTGAGATGAAATAGTCTGATCCAGAAAAAACAGCTTCTTGCAAGCATTTCCCATTAATGGGCTGCCATACATCAAAAGAGGAGGAGAAAAAGTAAAATTAGAATCTTAGTAAATATGTTTTAATCCACACCATTAGTTTACTGTTCATGTCCTTCCAAGCAGCTATTCCTCTCTTTCCTTTCTCCTCTTTCTCTGTCCTTTTCTTACTTTAATATTCATATACGTTCAACAACAACAAAAAAAAAAGCTGGGAAAATTGATTGCCTTTCTTTCATTGAATTTTCTCCTCTAGACCCGTTTTTGTAGCCAGGACCCTTACCAACGTTTCTGCCATACAGAAATAACATGTGTTTCAACAAAAGTTCATTTTACGTTATCAGTATTAAGTTTAAAGTACTACAGCATAAATCAGGAGAATGGTATGAAAACAGAATTTCTACAGATTCTCAAGGTTTTAATTGCGCAAATAACTTTTACCAACTTTGCATCAGTTCAATCACTAATTTCTGTGATATGTCAATATTTTTCTTCATTTATTACTAACTTCCTCCTGAATAAAAAAATCTCACTAGACTGAAAGTTTTAGTTCATGGAAAGGACCAGATCATATGATAAACAAGACATCCTATATGTAACTAAGTTCCTGAAGCAAAATTTCATCAGTGATAACACTGATGAGTTCTGCAGGGATTTGACCTAACTTCTTAATTCATTAGTAGGAAATTTTACATTTATTTTTTTAAATCAATTCAGGGGGAGCATTCAGCTCAATATCAATCATCAAATGTATTTACAGGGGAACTTCATCATCTCATAAGAGAAAGTGCATGTTTTTCCATGCTTAACCATTTGGTGACAAGCCATTAAAGCAAAGACTTTTGTTTCCTGCTTTCATTGCACTAAAAGTTCTACGGAGACAGGCCATACTAAACTTATATCTAGCCTGCAAATAAAATATGGAAAGTATGCCCTCCCTTCAAAAAAACCCCAAGCTGGTTGTGACTGAAAAATGATACAGACTGGCAGCTGTTTGGTAGCATATGTTAAATGAATGACTGACTCTGGAAATAAATATATCCCACAAACACTCCTGCAGCTGTCAGTGACACTGTTCTTGGCAAAATGAACTTGTAAACTTCATTACCACCTTGTACATAATGATAATACTTTAAGAAGTGGACTGATGCACATTCAGATGGAAAAGTAGGGAAGCGTGCTTTACAGTTGTCTGTGCTACATCTATCCCAGAAATATAAAACACTTATCTCTAAAATTTCCTATGTAGTAAATTGCATCATCAGAAAAATATTTAAGATGCCCCCTTTGCTGCCCTTTCTCATCCTAGACATTTATCAAAGTAAGGTCCTGCTCGTAGTGAGTAAATATGGCAATATTGTGCCTAAAAGAAAAAAAAATTCCACCTTTTTATTACAAATTTTGGAAGTCACACATCCAATTAATATATGCTGGTGGCAGGGGGGTTGGAACTAGATGATCTTTAAGGTCCCTTTCAACCCAAATCATTCTATGATTCTATATTTCATCAAAGACTCAGGGATCAAAGTTTGAGTACTTTGTATACTCCTTTTACTGAAAAAGTGTCATTAATTTATAACACAAAATGTAACTGCTACACATACATAAATTTGTATGTAAATTCCAAAGCAAGAAATAGTTTGCCTTGTCTGGTAAATTTATCTGTATAAGGAAAACACAAGTTTTTAAATGTTCAGTTTCTTTAAAACTTTGGATAATGTGCACCAAAGCCACCTGAAATGAACTTACTTAAAATTTATAAAGTCTGTACAAACACTTAACTCTGTCAAATTCTATATTCAATTTTGTTACATAGAATATGCCATGATTGTGCTTTACAAACTTTTGTTATATGGAATACCACATTATGCATCTCTCGGATATGCTACACTTGTACTAAGAAAGAAAACACGTGGGAAATGAAGCCCAAAGCCAGCAGGTTTACAGTAAAAAACAACACCAAAACAAAATTACTAAAGCTCCTTTTTTAATAGTTACTGAAATTTAAGATGAAACACATCCAAAAGTTTTCCTGCAAGCTACATAATTCTGCAGTACATAGAAATCAGATGTATTTTTGGGATTCCACAACTTAACAGAGAGAAATGTTTGAATGGTCTGTTACTGTTCATAAGTCTGTGCAAAGCTCTGTATCAATTAGGCCTAGAAAACATCCTCATCTTTGGCAGCCACTTACCTGGCAACTAGACTACCAAAATACGTTTTTCATTGCAAGAATACTGATTGCAACTGAACAAGAAGTGTTAATGGAAGGCATTTCTGTTGCTAGGTTTTCAACAAAATTAATTTGAAATTACCATAAAACAGACTTTCCCATTACATTTTCTCTGTTCACTTTTGCAATAGGCAGCACATTTGTTAACTGTCCTCCATGTTACTACTACATCATTTTTTGCATTCCCCTCAAGTGCTTGAGCTCTCCAAAAGTTTAGAGAAATGTCTTATCTAAATGTTTCCTCCAACATGAAAAAATAAAGTTGTTTTTAGGCAAACCACTTGTATCAAAAGGACTTGCTTGCTTTGGAGGCAGAATGCAGGAACTTGAACAGAAATAAAATGCAAAGACATTCCTTATTAAATTAACATTAAGTTTGGATGTGATTTTCAACAGTAGACTACCACACATCATCTATCACAAGTCCTTTGATTAATGGCCCCAATCAGGGAATCATGAAAGCCTCTGACACTTCTAGCAATAAAAAAACCCAGAAACACAACATCTGCTAGTTAAGATGTAATGTTAACAAAATGTTTTTACCTCAAGTACTAGCCAGAGCTGTCCTCCCACATATTGATCTGCTTTGTAAAACATCCCATAAAATCTAACAACATTAGGATGATTGGGAAGAAACTGCAAAATATTATATTCTGCTTCAATCTCTTCATCTACATCCTAAACAAAAACCAAACACACAGATTGTATAAGCACAGTAAGTCCATACAGAGCAAGAACAAACTCTCATGAATAAAAAGAACATTTTTTTAAATTAGTTTGTATTTTTAAATGGTTTTACTTTAATGCAGCTGAAAGTACTCACACAATACTGTTAAATTTAATCCACATCAAATCATGCCACTTTTTTTACATACAAAAAAGCGAAGTCTGTGTAAAGCAAGCAGTTGTTCTTCAAGGATTCTTTCTGTGTATAATATACGTAACCAGAAAAGTAAAAATTATACTTAACTTTGTTCAGTTGTCTAAATAAGAAATTTACACATGCAGTATTTTCTGACCTGTTTTTAAATGTGCATATGTTTTATTGTGTAAGCTAAACGTAAATACATGAACCTTTGATTCATTCTTTTTTCTATGGTCATCAGATGAGACCAAGTAGAGAACAATTTCACAAAAAAGGGGACATCACTGAAAACAAAGACATCCTTATGAAGAAAAGACATACATCAGAAATTAAATTAAAGAGAGACAAAACAAAACCCATGAAATAAGGAAATGTTACTAAATATTTGTTAATTAAAGAATTCTGTGACAATTAAAAATACTGCGTAATATCAGTACACAGGCCACAAGTTTGTTTCTGCACATACTGTGACTATTAGAAAATTGAAGCTCTTACAAGCATTTTCCATTTTTTACATTTTAATAAAAGGATATCTTCTTATTTATTACCTTCTTCAAACTTACACAACAGAAAACCAAGATGAATTTCAGTAGTGTTGGATGACAGAAACGTAATTTTTTTAGTAAATACTTAAGCCCAGCTGTCATGATCGAACTCCAGTTTGATCCAATCTGAACAGCTGCCAATTAAATCTTCCATTGAAAACTAGGGCCCTGGTTCTCAAGGGAAGCCAGGCATTTAATATCCACTAAAACTGGTGCTGGCACAGAACTGCCTCTGAGAATTTGGGCTGTGCTCTACTTCAGTTTTTATCTTAACTATTGCCTCACAGTATTATCCACTTATAAAAGATAATTATAAAATATCCTAAAGTTCACAGTACTTCTGTGATGGGAAAAGTAATTATTTTAGGGGGTACAAAGAATAAAATAAGAACATTAAGATTAACAGCATCTTGTATTTTCCCGACTATAGCAGTCCCCTAAGAGGAATGCCTCTGTACCTTCTTATCATTTGCATGCTCCAAGCACAGATATCTAAATTTGTACCAGAAGAATTACACAGACCTTAAAAAGAAATTAGGCAAATACTGTCTTAAAGTAACATACAAGATGATGAAATTGCAAGTTGAAGTTTTCAGGTGCTGGTACCAAACTCCTCCTGTCAATACATTTTGCAAAATTGTTCCCTTCAGGATGTTTTCAATATCTTCCATATTTTATTTACATTTCAACTCTGAGAATTCCTTTAAATTAACAATGAAGTTACAGTTTAATATTTTTTACTTACACTGATAGGATCCAGAATCTTTACTGCTGCCAGACTCCCATCTTTCTTATTGGTAACCTTATAGACTTTACCATAAGTGCCTTTCCCAATAGTTTCTATAATTTCCCAAGTATCTGAGGGATCAGCTAATGATTCTAGTCCAATCATACTGGAATTATATTGAAACAATCCATACAATGGTTTCCTGAAAAACAAAGCAGACACACATACAATGGGAAGCCCTAAGTAACTCTGTGCTAAGAAGGTATCTTATGATAAAGAAATCAAATATTGTCCTAATTTGAGGAAGAAATACAGACAGAATCACAAATGAAAACCAGATGGAAAGATAAGATCACTAAAATAAGGCATGGAAAGAAAACACTGGGGAACACTCCTCTTTACTTCGCTGTACGTGTTATTTGTTTCAAACCTTGCCCCATACACTACATTATTCTGACCACATTTTAACAAGTTGTGACAAAATCTGATCCCTCCCTCTACTGTATGCTTTTTTTAATGGACATTTTACAGAACTGGTTTAACACAGCTCATTAATTGAGGCCCTGTTTCTTGTACATTAAAAAGCCATGTCATATGTTTAACATATTTTTTGTCTAATGCTTCCTGGATAATTGCCAGACAGGCATTTAGTAAGTAAAACACCTCATCATATCTGATATATCTACAAGAAAGCCATGTATGATTAGTTTAATAAAAGTTAATACTGGGCTGGCTGATATCATAAAATACAAACCAACGTGGTAATAGGCAACAGGTACACCACTTGGGTGACATTCATCACTGGAGATGTTTCTCAACAATTGCACCTGTCTCTGTCTCTGTATTTCAGACAGTGTGTTATGGTCAGTTACACGGGCTGACTGCACCTCCACCTTCGGGAGATCTCCTGGTCAGGGGAGTCGTTTCCCCAAACACTCCTGAGTGACACACAGATCACTGTAGTCCGCACACAAAGGGCTCCCTCCCACCCTTGGAATTACACAGATGGCAAGTTCTGGTGATTAGGAAAATGACAATAACATTTTAGGATATTAAGTAGTGAGAATGAGAACTAGATCCTGCCCCTGAACTGGAATTAGAGAAAGGAAAGATGAAGGTTAAGATGAGATTAACTCAACCTTCTTATGTAACTCATCATTAGAGAAGCTGACCTGTTTATGGTTTCTCTAAGAAAGAATATTATTTACCCATTTGGTGGCTGTCAGTAGGTAAACAACTTCAACTATCTGTACATTTAACTAGGAGATGTAAAGTCTGAGATCCATGAACAAACCAAAGGAGAAATATAAGAAAGTAATCTTGACAACAGCAATTGAAGACACCACCAGCACTGACTGCAAAAGCTCTTGATTTTTGGAGATGGATCAACTAGCACCTCAAACGTACACTTGCATTTTAAAGTTTGAGCCACTGCTTTCTAAGCATGTCTGATAACTGCTAACCTGCTTGAAGTAATTTTAAAAATCTGCCATCTTATTTTACCTCTTCACTATTTCCAGCATCAGTGACAACTATCTGGCATGAGAAATTTAGTCAGAAAGAAAAGTGAGCCTGGCTGGGGAAAATGAAGCAGCAGCTCTTCAAAATAATTAAAGAAATAATTGTGCTTTCTGTTCATGATAGAGAAGAAAATAACCTGTGTGCAAATTCACACGCAGCGCAGATCTGCATAGCAATATTAAAAATGAAAGCATATGTATAAGCTCATTTGCATGCTTTGTTCCTTTCCAGAATAAATTTTTAAATTCCTTTAGACCCTAAGACAAAATGTTTAAAGTAACTTACCAGATAACAGGCACAAAACATGGCTGTTACCAAAGTAAGGTTAGAAGAAGTATAATCTTATGCTGGTTTTGACTGGGATAGACTTATTTTTCTTCATAGTAGCTAGTATGGGGCTGCTTTGGACTTCTGCTGAAAACAGTGTTAACGCAGAGATGTTTTAGTTACTGCTAAGCAGTGCTCACACAGAGTCAAGGCCTTTTCTGCTTCTCACACCACCACATCAGCAAGCAGGCTGGGGGTGCAGAAGTTGAGAGGGGACACAGCTGGGACAGCTGACCCCAACAGACCACAGGTATATTCTGTACCATATGACATCATGCTCAGCATATAAAGCTGGAGGAAGAAGACGGAAAGAGGGGACCAAGGAACCGTTAGGCTTGATGGAGCCCTGCTGTCCTGGAGATGGCTGAACACCTGCCTGCTGATGGAAGCAGTGAATGTATTCCTCATTTTGCTTTGCTTGTGCACGTGTGCTTTACTTATTAAACTGCCTTTATCTCAAACCACGAGTTTTCTCACTTTTACTTTTCTAATTCTCTCTCCCATCCCTCCAGGGGAGAGTGAGTAAGCAGCTGTGTGGTGCTCAGTTGCTGGCTGGGGTTAAACTGCAACAGTCATTTTTTTAAACAATGGCAGGCACATCTAGAGAAAACCTCTATTCCCTCTTTGGTTAAAACTGTATTTGCATTAAAGATGGTGTCAAATAATATATCAAATTGCTTTGGTCTCTTAATCAAAAAAGGCAAAGAAAATAAGTAAAAAGAAGGAGGAAAAAAGCTAGAGTCAATGTCATTTAGTTGATGTGGGTCAATAATGTAAGTTATTAGGACAGTTTCTCACTACTTGGATTCAATACTGGATGCCACAAATAAAGAACCACATTCTGAACACATACATTTAGCACCTCAGCAGAGAAGCAGGTCAAGTGAAAGCCTTTTCCAAAATCAGTGAACAGACTGTAGTACATGTGCTGAAGACAGCAGCCACAGACATGTAGCTCCTGATAAGCCAACCTTAAGTGCAAGGTATGCTTGCAGGGCGGGGGATGGTGGTGAATACAAACAGAAATTGGAACAGTTGCATCTCAGGTTAAAAAAAAAAGCAAAACATATTGAAAATGTGTGATTTTAATGCTTTAGGGGAAATGCTATAGGTGTTCGTGTGCAAAGAAACAGAGAAGAACAGACTGATTTATTCATTGTCACTATAACAACCACACAGATTGTCCAGAAAATGATGAATGGCACTCTTTGTAATATTTACTATGATGCCTCCCTGCAAGCAGCTGTTGTGGATAAATATGCTTTTCCTTAAAACAAAACAATCTAGTGTCACTGCTTGCTTTTGTTTTGATTATTAAGTAACCATTAAAATGGTATCTTCAAGTTTTCTAAATACATTAACATGTCTTTATACCAGAATACAATGTTGACAAAATAAAATCTAATGCAAATTTGTTACAGATGGTGTCATGGTGGAGGACTGAAGAAAAATGGTTTGGGTTTTTTTTTTAATAAAAAATGTAAACATTAAAGGAGAAAAATGAAGTTCTAAAGTGAATTTGTGCTTTTCTTTTTCCATTTCTTGATTTACTGAGCTTCAAAAAATAAAATGATCTTGCTTTAACAAGGGCTGCCATTTACTTTTTATTTCTACAGCAAAAGTTACATATTAATGCAACCACTTTTACAACAACACCATATCTAGAAGACTAACACAAAAAAGCTGAAGCTGAATTTTCTTTAGGAAGAACTTTATACTTTCACTCCCCCAACATCAGGCCTCACATCTCTCTGAGCTTTGAAATGATGTACAGAGAGTGGTTTCTATCTGTGACAAACTTGGCAATGCCCTCCCCAGAGGGAACCTCAACCTGTTAGAGACCTGCTGATTTTAAGTATTTCATTATTTCTGCCACCAGCTGGAGAAAACTTCTCAGTGGTTAAATCTGTTCCACGCAGGCAAGCAAAATAGCCCACACCAGATGCTGAAAAATTACACTTTGGCAATTAACTCTACTGGATGGGGAACATCTTACACGAAGACTGCGCACACACTATTAGAGGAATGACTACATGCCATCAACAAGCCCACAGCACTCTTCCAAACCCTGTTTTGCATACTTGCGAAGAGACAGAATGCAAAGCAAAAGTAACAACAACTCGATGGTCAAACTGCTCTCAGGATGAAATAGGGGCAAATAGCATGATTTTTTTTAAAGCAGAGATTATATACTAACTTTAAAAAAAAAAAAAATCTTGTAAAACCTGACCAACCAATACAAACAACAGGGTAAGGCAAAAAACTATTAACAAGCTTCAGTCATTGACAGGGTTTCTTTCATTTATCCATGAAAAGAGATATTTTCCATCAGTAAATTTCATGCGTTTCTTCCTAACACTTGGATTTTTCTATTTTGAAAACCTTCAGCAGACAGAACAAATTAAGTCAGACCAGGCATGACAAACTAACTTGGATGGCAGTCAGGAAATGTGCAAATAACATTTATTTACATTTAAAGCATATTTCTCTGCAAGATCAACATTAGAATCAATGACTGCATATTATCACCCCTAAACAGTATACCTAAGACAGACTACAAGTATTGTTTGATATAAACGATAACGTAAAAGAAATATGGGTTATGAACAGCTCACAGGTAATTTTTCCCCCTGTGAACTATAGTCCTCCAGTTTTATTCAATGGTTCTAAACATCTCCAAAGTAGCCCTATGGAAAATTATGTGGTGTCCTGGAAAGTCTACTGTGATCTTCACCTATGTTGTGAAAATAAAACAAAAACCCCAAACCCTACATACAATAACTACATGGAGGGGTTTTTTTATGATATAACTACTTCTGGAATAAAATCAACAACTTTTCCTTACAAATTTATTATCACAGCTATCTTTCTCAGAAATTACAGGGACAAGAGGGACTCATAAGTGAGAAAAACAGTGCCAGAAATAGATCAGTAATTGTAAAGCTATTTTCAGTACTGCCTTACTCAGCTTCTACGCAGCAGTGATTTGACTATTGCCTTCCAACACGCACCCTTTTCTAGCTCACAGTAAAATGGGACATCCGGAGAAGTTTTGAAATTAGTAAGAGCCTCTCTCTAGCCTGGTGCTTTCTAACTGACATTGTATATAGTGCTGTGAAGTTTTGAATTCTAATATAGCTGGTAGGGCCATAATAGCAATACCAGTCAATACCAGTGAAACAAAATTCAACAATTCCTGCACAGGGCTAATTTTTGCAGTGTTCTGTTTCTCTAACCCTTCTTGTGTCTCCTGTGAAACAGCTGGCTCATACTCTTCTGGCACCTACATACACTGTGGAAGATTAAGAAGGTCATAA